CGCCGTCTGCATCGCTACCGTTGTGACTGCGGGGGAATGTTGATTATCGTGATTGTATTGGAAACATAGGATATACTAGGGAGTATTCTGGCTTGTGTTGTAGTCTAAATAGATCATGTACTCCTATATATATGCCCACGAGGCTCAAGCAATAAATCAACGCACGTTTCCAACAATCTTCATCTAGCCGTTCTAACAATAAGCTTAGGAGTTTACACTTGCTCCCACTATAGTAGCTAGCTGGATATATCTGACGCAGCAGCTCCCTGCAGAGGTGATGGCGAGGAGGAGAGACACTCCCACTACCTTCTTCGTCGCTGCCACCGACAAAGGAGTGCCAGGGTATGGGACTAGGAAGGGCTCAGTTGGAAGTGCCGGGGGTGACGCCGTACCTTCGTCGGTACAACGGTCAGCAGCAACACCGGCATCACTGCTGTCACGACAGCCCACTGACCACGGGTCCATGGCTCTATAGATTTTGATCGATGTCTGTGTTGAAGGATGTATGGATCGACTCTGGCAAGCTCATCTCTGTGATGTTGTTAATTTTAGCTGGACGGTGACGTGAGATCCATGTGAAGTACTCCCTCCGTAAAGAAATATAAGAGCATTTAGAATACTAATTTAGTGATCTAAACGATCTTATATTTCTTTACAGAGGGAGTAGTACTAGTAAATAGCGCGTCGCACAGAGGCATGTGCCTGTTTGGCAAGCAAGATTTCCATGTCAACTGAAACCCGCGATTAACTGAAACCCAGCCGTATCCATCGAAGCAGCCGTCCAATTTATAGCTGCCGATCTTGGATAAAACTTGTTTGGTTAAGCTAGCAGCCCGGCCGGCCCAACTGGCATGGAGCGTGCCAATTAATTAGCTTGTATGTACAACTGTTTTAAGATGATCCAACTTATGAGTCTGATGTAACTAGATCTACATATTGATGTCAACGGTTTATTAGTATAAGCAAAGTGGATCTAGTTTTTCCTTTTTTTTTTTTGCAAACCTTCGCCTGTTGTATGGCATATCTATGTCCTCCCATCTGCATACATGGAAATTATGTATTTTTTTCACTCTCCTCAGTCAGGTAGTCGACTTCAATAATAAGCATAGCTTTGGTGTCTAGTATGTGTGCCCTAATCAAATAACAAAGGCGTTGGTGTGCTCTAGGCGATCAAAATCAGGACTACAAAATCAAATTCACTGTAACCACAGCCATGAGGATCCAACTGTATGTAGCTCTGCTGCTCTATATCGTCGCCAAACAGTCCTTCTCACGAAGATAGAGATTGCAACCATCCAAAACAAGGCTGTTGAGAGCATCTATAGCCTGTTTAGAATGGGCATGCAAAGTACGCTCGGAGCACTTAGGTCTTCTTTTGTGGTAGACTATGTAGACACTTTCCGGGAAGCGGTTGTAGAAGAAGAATCGCAATACCCTCACACAAGGCTCGTAATGCCTCCCTATGCATCTGAATGAGGCGTGTTGGACTAGCATTCTCCTGCTGCCTCCGGTGACATCTCAGTGAGTTCCTGATAGAGCAAGATCAATGTTGAATTATTGTCATTTCATAACGCTACTAGAGATGCTTACACATAGCCCGGACGCTTAGCTCTTGCTTGTTATATTGGCTTTAACTAACAATAGAATGAATGGAGGATTATATTACGTACGTGTTTACCTTAGTTGGGGCCATGGCATACCAGGGCACGAGCCAGGTGCACTTCTTGTCTCTCCAACCTTGAGGTAGCTGTTTAATGAACTCAACCTTGTTCATTATGAGGTTGTACCTAAACACGCCGTATTTCTCATGAGGGGAGGCATCATGAGAGTGGTAGACAAAGTAGGCGCAGCCGCCATTGTGGTCGCCTAGCACAGAGGCATCTACGGCGAAACTGTTGGGTGACCCCAAAAACAGCACGCGGTCTGCCAAGCTACGGCCATGCTTTCTCACCCATCGTGTCTTCTCTGGCGCCGAGCCCACCTTCTCTAGGGCGTGCACGGTCACACATTGTGGGTGAGATCGAGCCATCCCGCCGCTCCCATTGTTATTCGTATGGAGCATGATCTTGATTTGGATGGTGGCCAATAAAAGCTCCCTGCAGGACTCCAGGATGTAGCTGTCCTGCAACAACATGTGCGGCTTTGGAACTCGCCTGAGCAAGTCGCCCACATCATCGCTGCTGTCTGGCGTGGCAACATGCCAGATGCTAGCCTCAACTGTGAACAAGATCCTGCCGCCGTGGTACGCTGCACAGAACCCTCCGGGTCTCCTCAAATTCTCAAGGGTCCTCTTCACGAAAGTCCACTCAGCATCGCCCAGGCGCAGGAGCGCCGCCATGAACCTGGCACTGAGTCCGTCTCCGTCAAAGGTTGAGACTGCGGTATATAGAACGATGGCACCGTCGCCATAAACCCCACCGTGGAGGCTCTTGTCCTCCCACTGGGCTTCAACATAGAACGCAAGCGGCAAGAGAGGCAGATGGGTGACAGTTCCGGTGAGAGGGTCGTGGATGCTAGGGCGGAGGTGTCCGATGGTGAGGTACCGGATGGTGCGGGGGTCGGCGGTGGATAACCAGATCCTCCATGGCGGCGAGATCGATTTAGGAACCCTCCGTTCCTAAATCTAAGTCTTTTTATAGATTTCAATACGAATTTCCTAAATCTAAGTCTTTTTAGAGATTTCAATACGAATTACATACGGATGAATGTAGACATATTTTAGAGTGTACATTCACTCATTTTGCTCCATATGTAGTTCATATTTAAATCTCTAAAAACACTTGTATTTAGGAAAGCAGGGAGTAGATATCAAGTTCCTGTTCTCAGGGTAAAAACTAAGAAGTTGCGTGTTTCGGTATAGCTTTTTGTGGTTCAGATGTTCCATGCCGATACATGTCTTGTTCTAAACGAACTTAATGTTTGGTGAAAGAGACATATTTTTCTCCATTGACGTGTAGTGTTGGTGTAATAACCTATCTACAACATTTCTACAGATTTACTAATTATGTATCTATGATCTTTGATATCTTGATTCTTATGCATTCTTCTTGAATTTGTTGTGACAGAGAGATTGCTGAAGTCTCAAAGCGGCCATGTAGAAAATTTTGCCACACCCCGAGATTTACCTCAGCTTCATATAGGCGATATGTTTGGGCAGACCTCACGGATATCTTGCTTTACCAAATCATTCTTCTTCTTAGCTCATTCCATGAATTTCTTGCAATTACTGGCACATGCCGCTCTTGGCGTGATGCAATATCTTCCTTCCCACCCATATATGCCTTCGCCTTCCCACCTCTCCACCTCAAAGCTGATATTCGCTATGCTCATCAGCATATCACCGGAGAATACAGTCTTTTATCTAATTATAAATGGAAACTTAATGATCCCATGAACAGTAACTTATCTCTTCATCGTACAGCGCCCCGAAACACTCCAAGTTACATGCGCTTTTTGGGTTATTCATATGGGTATCTTATCTTCTCCTGTAGGGAGCACTTCCTCCTAGTTGATGTTTACACGTGCATTAAGGTGAAGCCCCCCAAACTCCCAGCAAACCGCAACTGTGAAATCTATTGTGGGTTCCTTATGGCTCCACTCAATTCGCCAAAGTCGCGCCTCCTCCTTTGCTCGCGAAAGTCCATGTTCCTATGGAAAGTTGGAACAACCTCCTGGACAGAGAGCCCCTTTGTTGGTGAAGCTAAATTCATTTATCAGATTGTGCTCTTTAAAGGTCAGATGTTTGCCATGGACTCTCTTTATAGGCTCAATACCATATCCTTGGCACCTCAGCTCGGCATGCAGGAAGTAACAGTTTTGTGGCGAGAGGACGTGGTTGTAGGCTCAAGTAATGTTCCATGGTTGGTGGTATGTGGTGACATGCTTCTCATGGTTGATGTGGTTGAGTACTTCTTTCAAGTCTTCCGCTTAGATTTCTCAGCCAAACCAGCTAAGTGGGTCAAACTGGAAAAGTTGGAAAATTGGGCTATGTTTGTTAGCATTGGGTTGAGGAGCCCTACATTTTCTTGCATGAACCCTGAAAGATGGGGTGGAAAGAGTAATTGCATTTACATTTCGAGTCTTTCATCTCAAGATTCTGATGCTCCTTGGATAGCAACAGAGCTCGGTCAGTCGATTTACAGTGCAGCTCACCGCGATTCATACATTCCAGAAGGCGCAAGGCAGGAGATTGAGAGCTTCTGGGTGCTTCCCAGCTTGGTCTATGGTGCCGGCAAGTGAACAGTCAGCTTTGCACTTCACATAGTTTTGCTATCCTAGCACATGCCCTGACAACGGCAGGTTTTAGGACTTGTAGTTTTCGTTCTTGTTGACTTCGTATCACCCTATCTATGTTGAACTCAGTCAGTGGTATATTCAACATGAAAGGCACACATACTCAGGTTAACAGCATTTTTGATGGATCTTTGCTATATTGCAAATTTGCAAGTCTAGTAGGAGAGCTCTATTAGACTGTACATACTTTCATTCCAATAATGTGTGGTTCATATATATCAATATATCATACATGTTCTTAGAATGGGAACGGAACAGACATCCAAAGGCCGCCTTCAGTTACCAGCTGCAAGTCTATTTACCTTAATTTTTCACGATCTTGAAAAGTAAATATATGGTCAGCTATTACTATAACTTGAGCATTTGAAATTAACTGACATGTTAAAAGTGCCACGCATAAAGAATCGACTTACAGGCCATCTGGACAATATTTTTGCAAAAAGTGTATCTGTAAAATTAAACTGCCAAAGTTGAACGACAGGAAATCATGTCTCCACAACTTATGCGATGGTCTGTTTTGATCTCACAAAAACTGTGTGATAGTATCAGTCATATGGTGCGAAAATTCTGGTGGGCAAGCGAGGAACAGGGGCGGGCCCACTTCAATTCATGGGTATTCAGTTGAATACCGATTATTTTTTCCAAAAAATTAGGTATATATAGTGTATATATGGCTATGTATGGAAGGAGCGGCGCGCAGCGGGGCAGAGCTCGCTTGAGGGGATGGCGTTAAGCTCGAAGGAGCGATGGCGAGGAGCAAGGTTGCGGTGGTATGGCGCTTGGCGGCGGCGGTCCAGCGCCTGGCAGGGTCGACGAGCAGCGACGGGAATTGCGAGGCGAGCGCGCGACGCCATGTCCTGCAGGCTCCCCGCGTGCTGGAGTAGCACTTGAGGTCGTCGAAGCCGTCGGCGATGTGGACGACGAGCTCCGGCCAGGTTCGTCCAGCCCCGGAACGGAGGCATGGCCGTGCTAAAATGAACAGACCGAGAGAAGCTCAGAGTCCTCCATATACGCACGCATCAGTTTTCCCGGTCCAAAGCTGCTTCCCAAAAATTACGGTAACAAGTAACAACTCTATTTTCTATTTTTCTGGTAAGTCGTGATTTGTTTCCACCAAATCAATATTCAAAATTAATGCTTCCAAAAATTACGTTAACTATTAAAAATGCTTGTGTGTTGTAACCGGAGAAAAATGTATATCAGAACCCTCCTTGCGCAAAAGAAAAAATCCTCCTGCCGCACACACAGTGCTATGTCTTTTTTATTCAAATTTCAACACGTATCCTCCTTCCCACCACGTTGATGGTGGCAGTGGTTGTTGGGAAACGTAGCATGCAATTTCAAAAAATTTCCTACGATCACACAAGATCTATCTAGGAGATGCATAGCAACGAGAGGGGGATAGTATGTCCACGTATCCTCGTAGACTGAAAACGGAAACATTTAGTTAACACGGTTGATGTAGTCAAACGTCTTCACCATCCAACCGATCCAAGTACCGAACGTACGTCACCTCCGTGTTCAGCACACGTTCAGCTCGATGACGTCTCTCGAACTCTCGATCTAGTACAGGGTCGAGGGAGAGTTCCGTCAGCACGACGGCGTGGTGACGGTGTTGAGGATATGATCCGCGCAGGGCTTCGCCTAAGCACTACAACGCTATGACCGGAGGAGTAAACTGTGGAGGGGGCACCGCACACGGCAAAGAGAACAACTGATATCTCTTTGGGGAGGCAGCCGGCATAGAGGGGGCGCGCCAAGGAGGGAGACCTACTAGGACCCCGAGTCCTAGTAGGATTCCCCTTTCCTTTTTCCGGAGATGGGAGAAGGGGAAGGTGGAGAGGGAGAAAGAAAGAGGGGGGTCGTGCCCCCACCCCTTGT